TACCTGGCACAGACACACGCCATGTCTGCTGACCCCTGGCACTGACCAGCTGCTCCCCACAGATCACTTGGTGTCTGCTGACCAGCTGTTCCCCACAGATCACTTGGTGTCTGCTGACCAGCTGTTCCCCACAGATCACTTGGTGTCTGCTGACCAGCTGCTCCCCACAGATCACTTGGTGTCTGCTCACCAGCTGCTCCCCACAGATCACTTGGTGTCTGCTGATCAGCTGCTCCCCACAGATCACTTGGTGTCTGCTCACCAGCTGCTCCCCACAGATCACTTGGTGTCTGCTCACCAGCTGCTCCCCACAGATCACTTGGTGTCTGCTGACCAGCTGCTCCCCTCAGATCACTTGGTGTCTGCTGACCAGCTGCTCCCCACAGATCACTTGGTGTCTGCTGACCAGCTGCTCCCCACAGATCACTTGGTGTCTGCTGACCAGCTGTTCCCCACAGATCACTTGGTGTCTGCTGACCAGCTGCTCCCCACAGATCACTTGGTGTCTGCTGACCAGCTGCTCCCCACAGATCACTTGGTGTCTGCTGACCAGCTGCTCCCCACAGATCACTTGGTGTCTGCTGATCTGCTGCTCCCCACAGATCACTTGGTGTCTGCTCACCAGCTGCTCCCCACAGATCACTTGGTGTCTGCTGACCAGCTGCTCCCCACAGATCACTTGGTGTCTGCTGACCAGCTGCTCCCCACAGATCACTTGGTGTCTGCTGACCAGCTGCTCCCCACAGATCACTTGGTGTCTGCTCACCAGCTGCTCCCCACAGATCACTTGGTGTCTGCTGACCAGCTGCTCCCCACAGATCACTTGGTGTCTGCTCACCAGCTGCTCCCCACAGATCACTTGGTGTCTGCTGATCAGCTGCTCCCCACAGATCACTTGGTGTCTGCTCACCAGCTGCTCCCCACAGATCACTTGGTGTCTGCTCACCAGCTGCTCCCCACAGATCACTTGGTGTCTGCTCACCAGCTGCTCCCCACAGATCACTTGGTGTCTGCTGACCAGCTGCTCCCCACAGATCACTTGGTGTCTGCTCACCAGCTGCTCCCCACAGATCACTTGGTATCTGCTGACCAGCTGCTCCCCACAGATCACTTGGTGTCTGCTGACCAGCTGCTCCCCACAGATCACTTGGTGTCTGCTGACCAGCTGCTCCCCACAGATCACTTGGTGTCTGCTCACCAGCTGCTCCCCACAGATCACTTGGTATCTGCTGACCAGCTGCTCCCCACAGATCACTTGGTGTCTGCTGACCAGCTGCTCCTCACAGATCACTTGGTGTCTGCTGACCAGCTGCTCCTCACAGATCACTTGGTGTCTGCTGACCAGCTGCTCCCCACAGATCACTTGGTGTCTGCTCACCAGCTGCTCCCCACAGATCACTTGGTATCTGCTGACCAGCTGCTCTCCACAGATCACTTGGTGTCTGCTGACCAGCTGCTCCTCACAGATCACTTGGTGTCTGCTGACCATCTGCTCCTCACAGATCACTTGGTGTCTGCTGACCAGCTGCTCCCCACAGATCACTTGGTGTCTGCTCACCAGCTGCTCCCCACAGATCACTTGGTGTCTGCTGACCAGCTGCTCCTCACAGATCACTTGGTGTCTGCTGACCAGCTGCTCCCCACAGATCACTTGGTGTCTGCTGACCAGCTGCTACCGACAGATCACTTGGTGTCACAGATCAGTCACAAGTCTCCAGAACTCATGACAGTCAACTTTGGCCTCTGACGCAGAAACAGACACGAAATATTACGCAGTGTTGCAAAGTTTATATGGAGGAAATGAGAAATGTTTGATATAACATTTGAAGAACAACTACGCAGACGGGATCGTAGGCAGAATTTAAAACACAACTTTTCAGTTTGTAAACATGTTAAAACGCCCATTCTGGAAAACACGCCAAATAGTGTATTGGATTTATAAACGTGACTTCGCGGCTGAATACTTGCAATATAATGCAATTTCTAGTGTCATGAAGATATTTTAGAAAATAATTTTTTTTTACGTCCATTTATCAGTCAAAAAAAATATTTTATCTTAATTAACAAAGTGTAAATATTATTTGGATTTGGTATTTCAGATAAAACAGAGAGTTAGGAAAGGTTGAAGCCATTGTGGGGTTTCCCCGGCCTCTAAAACACTTTATAAAGCTTAGGAACCAATTTCGTCCAGCTTAAAGGGACATTTGCTCTAGAATCTAGATTGAATTAACTCAGCATTTGTTGTGTTGATTATAGACGGTGAACGCTGAGTTCAGCTCACTCAGTGTCTTCCTCAGCTTCTTGATCAATCATTTTCTGTCATGACTTAAAATATCATTTGATTGATTTGCAACACGTGTTGCAGGAAGGTCAGTTCCTGGTTGATGACTTACAGCGAGTGATGCTCCTGGACGCTCAACTCACCTCCCACCCCATCGTCCAGCCCGTCAACCATCCTGATGAGATCACTGAGATATTTGATACCATATCCTACAGCAAGGTAAGGCTTGGTACCGTATCCTACAGCAAGGTAAGGCTTGGTACCGTATCCTACAGCAAGGTAAGGCTTGGTTCCGTATCCTACAGCAAGATAAGGCTTGGTTCCGTATCCTACAGCAAGGTAAGGTTGGTACCATATTATACAGCAAGGTAAGGCTTGGTACCATATCCTAGAGCAAGGTAAGGTTTGGTACCATATCCTACAGCAAGGTAAGGCTTGGTACCATATCCTACAGCAAGGTAAGGCTTGGTACCGAATCCTACAGCAAGGTAAGGGTTGGTACCATATTATACAGCAAGGTAAGGCTTGGTACCATATCCTACAGCAAGGTAAGGCTTGGTACCATATCCTACAGCAAGGTAAGGTTTGGTACCATATCCTACAGCAAGATAAGGCTTGGTACCATATCCTACAGCAAGGTAAGGTTTGGTACCATATCCTACAGCAAGGTAAGGCTTGGTACCATATCCTACAGCAAGGTAAGGTTTGGTACCATATCCTACAGCAAGGTAAGGTTTGGTACCGTATCCTACAGCAAGGTAAGGTTTGGTACCGTATCCTACAGCAAGGTAAGGCTTGGTACCATATCCTACAGCAAGGTAAGGTTGGTACCATATTATACAGCAAGGTAAGGCTTGGTACCATATTCTAGAGCAAGGTAAGGTTTGGTACCATATTATACAGCAAGGTAAGGTTTGGTACCATATCCTACAGCAAGGTAAGGTTTGGTACCGTATCCTACAGCAAGGTAAGGTTTGGTACCGTATCCTACAGCAAGGTAAGGCTTGGTATCATATCCTACAGCAAGGTAAGGTTTGGTACCGTATCCTACAGCAAGGTAAGGCTTGGTACCATATCCTACAGCAAGGTAAGGTTGGTACCATATTATACAGCAAGGTAAGGCTTGGTACCATATCCTAGAGCAAGGTAAGGTTTGGTACCATATCCTACAGCAAGGTAAGGTTTGGTACCGTATCCTACAGCAAGGTAAGGCTTGGTACCATATCCTACAGCAAGGTAAGGCTTGGTACCATATCCTACAGCAAGGTAAGGCTTGGTACCATATTATACAGCATGGTACCATCTTGTGTTACAAAGTAGCAGTTTAGATTTCCTAAAGTAAGGTGAAACATGATACTCAACAGTAGCAAGGTAAAGCTTGATACACATCTTATGAGTATTAAGCTGATACTTAGCAAGAAAATTCATCTTTTACAGTTCAGTAGAGCAATGTATTTGAGGGAGATTTTGTAAACAGTCCTTATGCAGTGTGGAGGGTCAGGTCCTGTACAGTGTGGAGGGTCAGGTCCTGTACAGTGTGGAGGGTCAGGTCCTGTACAGTGTGGAGGGTCAGGTCCTGTACAGTGTGGAGGGTCAGGTCCCATACAGTGTGGAGGGTCAGGTCCTATACAGTGTGGAGGGTCAGGTCCTATACAGTGTGGAGGGTCAGGTCCTATACAGTGTGGAGGGTCAGGTACAGTGTGGAGGGTCAGGTATACAGTGTGGAGTCAGGTCAGTGTGGAGGGTCAGGTCATGTACAGTGTGGAGGGTCAGGTCCCATACAGTGTGGAGGGTCAGGTCCTATACAGTGTGGAGGGTCAGGTCCCATACAGTGTGGAGGGTCAGGTCCCATACAGTGTGGAGGGTCAGGTCCTATACAGTGTGGAGGGTCAGGTCCTATACAGTGTGGAGGGTCAGGTCATGTACAGTGTGGAGGGTCAGGTCCCATACAGTGTGGAGGGTCAGGTCCTATATAGTGTGGAGGGTCAGGTCCCATACAGTGTGGAGGGTCAGGTCATGTACAGTTTGGATACCACATACTCAGATCACAAGCTCATTGAAGTGCAAACGACCATCAGTACTCAGAATAGACCTAAAACGTTGATAAAGCGAGAGGGGCTATTGAGTAAATTCAATTTTAATAATAAAAGGATAGACTGGGAGATAATAAACAGGGAACTTACAAACATTCCATGGGAAACTGTTCTAAGTAATACAAGTCCTACAGAAGGAATAGAAAAACTGACTTCGGAAGCGTATCAAGTCTGTCTGAAACATGTTCCTTTGAGGAATGCCAGAAAGAAATCCAACGTAGAAAGAGAACGCAGACGACACTATAAACGAAGGAAAAAAATAACGGAAATGCTTATTGCAGACACGAATTTCCCGTCAAAGAAGAAATAATTTAAATACGGAGATTGAAGAAATCGAACGGAAATTGAAACACTCATATCAAACTGAAGAAAGGCAGTTAGAACAGAAAGCAATTCAGGAAATAAAGAAAAATTCAAAATACTTCTTCACATATGCGAAACCAAAAGCAAAAACCACTGCCAGTATTGGACCTATTCGTACAAGTGAAGGTTCATACACGGAGGATGACAAAGAAATTAGTGAAATCCTAAAAAAGCAGTATGAGGACATGTTTAGCACTCCAATAAACAACATGAAGGTGGAAGATCCAGACAATGTCTTTATGCAAGATATTCAAACCCCGGTAAATATAACTGATATCAACACGAGCGCACTAGACTTTGAAAGAGAAATTGAAAACATGCCCATGCACTCGGCCCCAGGTCCAGATTCATGGAATTCAATATTTATGAAGAAATGCAAAGTGCCAGTAGCACAGGCACTCAGTATAGTGTGGAGGAAGAGCTTGGCCACAGGGGAGATACCAGATGCACTTAAAGTAGCAGACATTGCCCCTCTACACAAGGGAGGGAGCAAAGCATTGGCAAACAATTATAGACCAGTTGTACTAACATCGCACATAATAAAAGTATTTGAGGGAGTGAGTAGGAGTCAGGTCACCAATTTCATGGAGACCAATGACCTTCACAACCCAGGCCTACATGGATTTCGAGCGGGAAGATCGTGCCTCTCGCAGCTACTTGAGCACTACGACAAAGTCACTGAGGCATTAGAAGAAAAACAGAATGCTGATGTGATATACACGGACTTCGCAAAGGCTTTCGATAAATGTGACCATGGCGTGATAGCACACAAAATGAAGTCAATGGGAATAACTGGTAAAGTAGGACGCTGGATACTCAGTTTTCTGTCAAACAGGACTCAGCGAGTAACAGTCAACCATATAAAATCTAGTCCAAGCGCAGTTAAAAGCTCTGTACCTCAGGGTACAGCCCTTGCACCGCTGCTTTTCCTTATTCTCATATCAGATATAGACAAAAATACAAGTCACAGCTTCGTATCATCCTTTGCAGATGACACAAAAATCAGTATGAAAATTACCTCGGCTGAGGACATTGAAAAACTTCAAGCTGATATTAATAAAGTTTTCGACTGGGCGTCAGAAAATAACATGATGTTTAACAGTGATAAATTCCAGGTACTCAGGTACGGTAAAAATGAGGACCTTAAACATAATACAGAGTACAAAACACAATCAAATGTACCCATAGTAGGAAAACAGCATGTAAAGGATTTGGGAATAATAATGTCTGACGACCTAACGTTTAGGGAGCATAACCAAGCAAATAATGCGTCAGCCAGAAAAATTATAGGATGGATTACGAGAACTTTCAAATTCAGGGATCCCATCACAATGGTTGTACTCTTCAAGTCACTTGTGTTGTCCCGTCTTGAGTACTGCTCAGTACTTACTTACTTACCCCTTCAGAGCAGGAGAGATTGCTGAAATAGAGGGAATACAGAGAACATATACGGCACGCATATATGCGATAAAGCCCCTAAATTATTGGGATTCTTCGTGAGGTTATCTTGAGATGATTTCGGAGCTTTAGTGTCCCCGCGGCCCGGTCCTCGACCAGGCCTCCACCCCCAGGAAGCAGCCTTTGACAGCTGACTAACACCCAGGTACCTATTTTACTGCTAGGTAACAGGGGCAAAGGGTGAAAGAAACTCTGCCCATTGTTTCTCGCCGGCGCCTGGGATCGAACCCAGGACCACAGGATCACAAGTCCAGCGTGCTGTCCGGTCGGCCGACCGGCTCCCTGAGACCGGATTGCCTTAAAACCCTCCAAATGTACTCACTAGAAAGAAGAGGAGAGAGATATCAAAAAATATACACCTGCAAGATATTGGAGGGCCAAGTACCAAACCTACACAGTAAAATAACAACGTACTGGAGAGAACGATATGGAAGAAAATGCAGAATAAAACCAGTGAAGAGTAGGGGTGCCATAGGCACAATCAGAGAACACTGTATAAACATGAGAGGTCCACGGTTGTTCAACGTCCTCCCAGCGAGTGGAGGGTCAGGTCATATACAGTGTGGAGGGTCAGGTCCTATACAGTGTAGAGGGTCAGGGTACAGTGTGGAGGGTCAGGTCCTATACAGTGTGGAGGGTCAGGTCCTGTACAGTGTGGAGGGTCAGGTCCTGTACAGTGTGGAGGGTCAGGTCAGGTGTACAGTGTGGAGGGTCAGGTCCCATACAGTGTGGAGGGTCAGGTCATGTACAGTGTGGAGGGTCAGGTCATGTACAGTGTGGAGGTTCAGGTCCTATACAGTGTGGAGGGTCAGGTCCTGTACAGTGTGGAGGGTCAGGTCCTGTACAGTGTGGAGGGTCAGGTCCTGTACAGTGTGGAGGGTCAGGTCCTGTACAGTGTGGAGGGTCAGGTCCTGTACAGTGTGGAGGGTCAGGTCCTGTACAGTGTGGAGGGTCAGGTCTTTTACAGTGTGGAGGGTCAGGGTACAGTGTGGAGGGTCAGGTCCTGTACAGTATGGAGGGTCAGGTCCCGTACAGTGTGGAGGGTCAGGTCATGTACAGTGTGGAGGGTCAGGTCCTGTACAGTGTGGAGGGTCAGGTCCAGTGTGGAGGGTGTACAGTGTGGAGGGTCAGGTCCTGTACAGTGTGGAGGGTCAGGTCCTGTACAGTGTGGAGGGTCAGGTCCTGTACAGTGTGGAGGGTCAGGTCCTGTACAGTGTGGAGGGTCAGGTCCCTACAGTGTGGAGGGTACAGTGTGGAGGGTCAGGTCCTGTACAGTGTGGAGGGTCAGGTCATGTACAGTGTGGA